ATATCTTGACAATACATAGCTGTCATTCCCCATAGCAAACTTTAAAGGGGATGAGGTCTTCCTTGTCATTGTATTGTAACAGTTACACATTTGAGCTGTTTATATCGATTGTCTTTCTGGCAAAATTAAATTCTAATCGGCATCACAAGTACAAAAGGTTGCACCTGACTCTATCGGAGGCTTGAACTCGTGTACCTGGAGAATAATATTGTATCCATATTTGAGTAAATGGGTGGATGATATTTTATTCTTGGATGGTATATCACCAACTTTTTAGGCTCGTTCGCAGTTTGTACATGAGGCACACGACGTCTCGTGCATACAAACAAACAAGTCCGGGTTTCTCATATTTTCTAATGAAACATTTACTGGTCATGCAGTGGTTCAATATATATATATTTTGGGGACGATGCTTGTGACAATTGCACGACTAGGCTACATTCGAGACTGCAAATTGTATGTCGTACTCTGACGAAAATACAACCTGATACTGAAAGCCGAAAGTCGTGTACTAAGTGATTGTATCGAATATATCGTCATACAAACGAGTTGGTGAATATTATTCAAACCATAATTTATGGAATTTTGTTAATAGAGATTTTGACAGTAGTTTTGATATTATTTTTCTTCAGCCACTGTGTTCATTACCCATTCTAACAACTATTGATGTTGTGGACAACTCGGAACTTTAAAATATGACAATCTTATATAAATCACGCCCTCTAGCCACGAACGGCTTCTGTGACGTAATAATGGTGTTCATGGTTTTCCTTCTTAGCGGAGCTATTATGTTTAATTGTCTGTCAATAAATTTTATTTCATTATTGACCATACCCACGAACATTATGTTGTTGTCAGTCTTTGAAATGTATAACAGTTATCGAAAGACAGGGCCACATAAACTGATTGTGAATTTCATCTACTATAATGATAGTGAAAACTTGATTGTAATGCATTCACGGAGGTTGTGCATGAATAACTTTCCATAATTGCATTCCAGCAGAAAAGCAATTGCTGCTCAACCATGTCCCATCGCCCTGAACAGCACTCACCTGAAGGGTGATAATCTTTGATTTGCATATTTGAAATTATCGGAACCCTTTTCTTCATAAACGTGTGCAGCTAAAGTTAGTAACTATGCATGTATATTGCATTCTGTCACTTCCTTATACAAGCTTGTGTGTGTTTATTTCAGAATGACGTCAAGCCAAGATTATTTCAACAGTAATGAGGTTGCATGCCTCCAAAGGAATTACGCTAAGGTCAAACTTGAAACTTTAGAAGAGTTAAGGACCACCAATGTCTTAACAGATACAGGTGTTCACGTATCATGCACTAGTTTTTGCAGCGAGTGGGTTGGATTTCGATAGCATTTGTACAAGGACATTAATTCCAGGTAACGACGGTGCTTGCATTGCTCATATTAAGAATATTCCAGCATCAGTTGTTCAAGAACTGTTAAGGTACTGTTATATCGGAAGGATTGTACTTTGCTATCTTGTATTCCTTCAACATGACCTTCACACTCAAATGAAACAGTTATTGAAGCCTTTAACACGGACCACGCAGCTACCCTGATACATCAATTCGAGGAAATGAAAGTCTCGCACAAGCTTATACATGGAAATTGTTTGTGACGGCAGAACATTTGCATGTCACAAACTAATTCTAGCTGCTTCTTCTGACTACTTTAAAGCTATGTTTACTCATGCATTCAGGGAAAGTTCGACCAACGTTGTCCGTTTACAGGGGTCATCAGAGATCTTAGATTGACTGATCAGCTACATGTATAGTGGAGATGCCCGTAACATCACATTAGACTGTATCATCACTGCACAATACCTGCAAGTACATTTTCCATTCAACCTCATTGGCTATTTAAAGAACCATCTGGTACCAGCACATTGTTTGAAAGTATTACAGATTGCAGACAATGTTGATGAACAACTTCACAGTGACACTCTACAGTACATTCAACAGAATTTTTGTCCGGAAGTCTACCTCCAGGAAGAATTTATTAAAGTGAGTTTGGAGAATGTCATAGAAATATTGTCAAGTGACAACCTGAATGTGAAATCTGAGGAGGATGTTTTCCATGTTTGTTACCAATGGATTGCAATGAATAATATCAAGGATAGACATATCCAGCAGAAAGTGTTTGACTGTGTACGCATCCCACTTTTGACAGAATTATTTACTGGGCATGCTAGGGATCTGCTGGAGAATATTGGTGTAGAAATAATGATTTCAAAGCAAGACCAGCCACGTATGTTCTTCCCAAATGTGTGTGGATGTTCCAATGTATCGTCACAAATTACTCCGAGGAGATCGATGGTACACAAGTATCTGCTTGTGCTCAGAGAAGCAAGACATGTGGAATCAGCAGTGGAAATATGTATGGTGAAAATGGAGGATAACCCAATAGCTCATGAGTTAGTTTGCAGTGATTCGCCCAAGGCACTGATAGGTTTTTGTACAGTATGTGTTGGTAACGACTTCTACGTTATTGGAGGATGGGACTTGAATGAAGAGTGCCCCTGTTGGTGTATGTGGAAGTTTGATTTAATAAAGCACACATGGGACCAACTTCCAGCTTGCATAACCAAACGAGTGAATGCTTCATGCACCTTCTCTGGTGACTTGATATACGTTATTGGTGGCAGGCCATCAGTTGATGATCAGGATTCAGTCTATCACAGTTTTGAAAAATACAATATTACAACTTCAACCTGGACTGCTTTAAACGCTTTGTCTGAGTTTGCTGGTTTACACAACCTTTCTCTTGCAGCATATAATGACAATCTGTTTCTTCTAAGCACTCATAATTGTGATGATACTCCAATGAATCTCTACCAATACTCCGTGAATGAAGAGTGTGGACTACCATGAATGTGAAAATGGGCATTGGGTTTTCCAGAACTATTCTGAATGTTGCAGGCTGCTGCAAT